TATTTTGACAGGAAATGTCATCATTGTCACGACGATAAGGCGCGAGTCCAGCCTACACATCCCCATGTACTTCTTCCTCGCCGTGCTCTCCAGTTCAGAAATCATGTAAACCTTTACATTATCCAGTTCTGATGAATCAGGGACTCTGCACTAAACTGGTTATCTCTTCAGCATCAATGGGTTTCCTTTTTTCTACGATCGAGACGATTATTATATTTACCTTGCCCTTCTGTGGGCCGAATAAAATCCATCACTTCTTTTGTGATATGGCACCATTACTTGAGTTGGCCTGTGGCCGGAATTATATAGGGGAAGATGTTATTTTTCTTATTTGTTTTCTGGTGGTCTTTTGCTGCTTCTTTCTCATTCTTCTGTCGTATCTTTTAATCATAAACACTACCCTGAAAATCCCCACCACAGACGGGAAGCGCAAAGCCTTTTCCACTTGCGCCTCCCATCTCATTGTGGTGGTTGTGCACTTCGGATGTATTTCCATTATTTACCTGAGGCCCCAATCCAGGAACACTTTGAATGATGACACCTTGATCTCTGTCACGTACACCCTGGTGACTCCATTGCTGAATCCTGTTGTTTACAGCCTGAGGAATAAGGATGTCCAAGTAGCACTCAAGAAATCCCTGGGAAGAAGCACATCTGCCCGGAAGATGTGAGAAGTGCTAATGGTGGATGAAACAGGCATGCCATGAATTGTGCTTTAGGGGGAAACAAAGAATTATCACTGTGAAGGAAATCATGGGCCTAGTAAATATTTTTTCTTGTATGGAGTAATGAATTTTCTTTTTTGTAATATAATGATTTTTATTATTTTCTGACAGAACGTAACAAACAAACATACAAACAGATATGAGAGTAATACCCTTGACGTTACCTCATACATATAAATCTAAAGGCCACTCTTGCTACCATATGTTTACTATTTAAACAATATCTTAACATTCCACTGCTATTTTCTTTCCCCCCCCCTTTTTTTAGTAACTCTCCTAAAAACGAGAGAATTTTATTGCTTTTAAATTTCAGGAAAACAGGAAGGGTATATAGCGGGATTAAGAAAAGTGGTGAGTAATGTTTACGTTAGTATATTAGTCTTTTGTTAATATTTCACAAAGTCTGTGGCTTCTTCTGCGAATGGACGATCCTCTTCCATCTTTACCTGTAAAAAATAAAGACATTAGATATGTTAATAATGTCCTTTTGGGGTTAGTATTGTCTCTTATTGCACTTTCCGAACAAATCCTCAGGCGTTGGGGTGCTTCCCTTTTTTATCTCTCAAGTTGCAAGTTGGACCATTTGCTGCTTTCCCATCTTCCGATTCTTTGACCTCTCCCTCCGAGCTGCTGTCTTCCTCGCTACTAACCGCCATCCACTCAGCGAGTTCTGCTTCCTCCTCTTTGCTGGCGTGCCTCTTCAAAAAGTCTTGAGCTTTGAAAATGGAGTCTATCTTTTCTCTCTTGTCTTTATATTTAAAGACAAGTCCTTCTGGAATCAACCATCTGTAGTTAATTTGATGATTTTGCAAGAATGTGGTCAACCCTTTGTATTCTTTTCTTTTCATGCAAATTTCAAATGGAACATCTTTCAAAATCCTTATGGTCTGTCCTCCGATTTTCAAAGGCATTGATGATGTTGCTTTCAAAATTTGATCTCTGATGCGTTGTTTGGTGAATTTCACAACCACTTCAGCTGGCAGATTATTTTTCTTTGTAAAGTTGGAATAGGCTCTATAGGCCAAGTCCATCTCTTCTTTTAAATTTTCCGCTTCGCTGCCAATCAGTGGGGCCAAAGCATTCACCAGTATGCTTCTGAGATCTTCTTTTTCAACCTACTGTATACCTTGAAATCGGAGAGTCAGATTTGATTTTTCCATTTGTAACGTCAATAGCTTATTATCCTGCATTTCCTGATGTTTTTCCATTTTATTGACCTTCTTGATTTTTTGCGTTTCTTCCGTTGATACCAGGCATTTCTTTGTCGTTTTCTTTTACTTTCGCTTCATCACTCCGAGAAGCTGGTGGCATTGCTAGTCTCCATTAGGGGCACTACACGGCGGGGCCTCTGGGGCATAGGGAGAGCCTCAATTTTCTGACCTTCCGATCGGTAAAGAGGCACTTCCCCGGTGCGCCCCCTGGTTAGGAGCCTTTGACTAAAGCTCCTTAGGGTCTCCGCTTGTGCGGATCCCCCCCAACCGTGCGTGGGCGAATCGCCTCCGGGAGCGTCCCGAGAGAGCGACCACCATTCGCGCCGCCAAAACCGGAAGTGACATTCCACTGCTATTTTCTATACTTCTATCTTTAAGTTATGCAACACAATAGGTTAACATGTTTTCTACTCATTAGCTTTGTGTCTAAGTCTTCTACCATAATCTTCTACAGAATGCATTTAAGTAACATTCTCCTATTTCATAATAAAATTCTTTTGTCATACTTTTTTATTACCAAGACTTCTGGAGTCCTTTAGCTAAAATTAAGTGTATTACATCTTTTATTTAAAAAAATTTGAACCTTAACATCTCAATAAATTTATCTTCTATATACTTATCAATTATCCGTCTTAAACAATCTTACTCTAATAAACAGTCATAGTTGTTCCCTAGACCGGATTTTTTTAAATATACAATTCATGTTCTTTTTGGTTAAACTATTTGAGAGACTAGTTTCATCTTTCAATAAGTATTTTAAATGTGTGCTAGGTTTTTATGAATATAGGAAAAGGAGATTGGATTTATACCCCACCCTTCACTACCCAAAGGTTTCTCAGAGCGGCTTACAAACTCCTTTCCCTTCCCCTCTCCACAACAGACACCCTGTGAGATAGGTGGGGTTGAGAGAGCTCTTGACAAGAAACTGCTCTTTTTCAAGAACAGCTCTTATCAGGTGCAAGTGGAGGAATAGGGAATCAAACACGGTTCTCCCAGATTAGAGTCCGCACACTTAACCACTACACCAAACTGGCTCTCACTTATCCTTGAAATTAATATTTCCTTAAATAGACTGAACTAATGGTTTTTCTAGCGGTCATGTAGTATCTTCCCCAAATCCATCTACCAGATAATTATTAAAATGGCTTTTCCTAATCTCTACCCATCAGTTCAAAAAAATCTTAATTTCTGTTTATGTAATGTATCCATCTCAGACCGTGTGCACGGCCATTTCGCCACGCGGTCAGGTGAAGCGACTGAGCTTCGCTCTCAGTAACAATGGGGCTAGCAGATCCTAGCCGGCACCTATCGGCAGGCTAGGCTCCTGGCCGAGAGCCTATGGAACTCTCGGCCACTGTTCTCATTCACGGACATTTTGTTAAAAGGTATTCCAGGAGGGCAGCCGTTTCTAGATGACGTGCTCATCGCGGCCCCGGATGCCTCGACCTTCGCCGACCGGCTGCGGGCAGTGCTCCAGCGTTTCAACACGGCCGGCCTGAAGGTCAAGTGAGAGAAATGCTTGCTCGGGGTTCCCAAGGTGGAATTCTGGGGGTTCGCCGTGGACGCCCAGGGAATTCACCCCACGGAAGAAAAGACGACAGCTATCTCACAGGTGCCCCTGCCTATGTCCAAGGATGAATTACAGGTTTTCTTAGGCCTGTTACATTTTTATCACTCCTTTCTCCCTCTAAAGGCCGTGGTGGTGGAACCTCTGCACCGCCTGCTGGATAAAAATGCTCTGTGGGTCTGGGGCCCGGAGAACGCCGCCGCTTTCCAGGCAGTAAAGGATCTTCTTGTCTCCAATTTGGTCCTCTCCCATTTCAATGAGGCCCTTCCCATGGTCCTGGCCTGCGATGCCTCTCTGTACGGGGTCGGGGCGGTCTTGGGCCACCAGTTACCGGACGGCCGGGAGGTTCCGGTTGCTTATTACTCTCACACCTTGTCATCTGCTGAGTGTAACTATGTGTCAGCGAGCTGCCATTGCGTCCTGTGTAACCTGGTTGCTTTTTGGCTGTTCCTCCCCTCCCATCCCCGTCTTGTTAGTTACTTTCACTTCCATGCCCATTAGCTATGCTTGCTACCCAAGATAATGCCCAAGGTCAACAGCTGGAGGTGGGAAGGAGTTTTGGCTTTGCTTCGCTTGTTATGTATTCTATGCATGAGAACTGAGCTTGTGTTTATATTGTGGACCGTTGTGTTCCCATGAGATGGGGCACTTGCGTTGCCTGGTTTTCCCGCACGCGGGAACTGGATCCATTGGTCAAGACCTGGTTCAAGTTCATTTATTATGTTGCCCCACGGGGTCTGTAGTTATTCCTAACAATTCTTGTGTTCCTGTGATTTCCATCGCTTTGCAATAAACTTCTACTTTGGTTCAAACGTGGAGTTATTCAAATGCTTGGGGACTGGACACTATGCACAGATTGACAAGGAGGCGCTGGCTATTGTGGAAGGGGTGAAAAAAATCACCATTACTTGTACGGTCGGCCGCTCATGATCCTGACGGACCATAAACTGCTCCTCGGCTTCCTGGCCCTAGACCACCAAACCCCCCAGATGACGTCTCCCCAGGTGCTCCGGTGGTCTGTTTTCTTGGCAGGATACTCGTATGCACTCGTCCATCAGCCTGGGAAAGCGATGGGACATGCTGACACTTTGAGCCGTCTTCCGCTGCCGTCTAAGGATCTGGACCCGGCTCCCATTCATCAAGTCACGCTTCTGGAGGCTCTTCCCAATCAACCGGTGCACGTTTGGGAAGTGGCGCGCCACACTGCCAAAGACCCAATCCTTTGCTGCATCTTGGACTGGGTGAGAAGGGGGTGGCCTACGGCCCCAGGGGGGCGGACTTCACGGCCTTTGCATCCCACAAGGATGAGCTGTCGGCCCACAAAGGCTGCATGATGTGGGGAGGCAGAGTGGTGATTCCAGCCCCTTTACGAGAAAGAGTCCTCATGGCGCTCCACGAGACACATCCTGGGGTGGTCTGAATGAAAGCTTTGACCAGAGTTACGTCTGGTGGCCAGGGCTGGATCGGGACATTGAGGACCAGGTCAAGAGGTGTCAGCTCTGCCAAGAATCCTGGCCCGAGCCTCCCCGGGCTCCCGCTAGACCCTGGGAGTCCTCACACAAGCCCTGGTCTCGGCTCCATCTGGACTTCGCAGGGCCATTCCAGGGTCAGATATTCTTTATACTCATGGATGTATACAGCAAATGGTTTGAGGTCATTCCGGTACCATCCACTTCCTCGACAGATGCTATCCGGGCCATGTGGCACATCTTCAGTGCCCAGGGTATTCCCGACACCCTGGTCACCGACAACGGCACGGCCTTCACCTTAGTGAATTCCAGGACTTCACCCATTACTACGGAATTTGCCACGTCAGATCGGCCCCGTTCCACCCAGCGACCAACGGCCAAGCCGAACACATGTTTCGGACGTCCAAGGAGGTGCTCCGCCGCTTGGACAGCAAGGACTGGGACTACAAGCTGGCCGCATTCCTCTTTGGCCGGAGAAAGATGCCCCGCACCATGACAGGACACAGCCCAGCAGAGCTTCTGTTAGGAAGCCTGACGACCCGGCTGGACCGCCTCCATCCCGATCGAGCGCTGGAAGAGGAACCGGACACAGAGTCACCCAAGGCAGCCAGAGGGTTTTTCCCCAAGGAAGACGGCCAGATACTTCATCGCCACATTGATCAGCTGTGGCGACGGATACTCCCACGTGACCCCGAGGAC